ATCATGCCATTACAAATGTACACCCTGGTTATTCCTCACCGAAATAGCAGGGCAGATGTGCAATTCTAACAGCCAAACTCTCTAATTTTGCTCTTAGTTAAGTGTACTAATTGTTATGCTACCCAGCCAGACAAGTCATAATTCCGTTTACATTGTATTACTTTGGTAATTTCATGGACACAGACTTGTAAATCATTAAAAGATGTGCGTGCGCCTTTTTCTCATTGTTTCTTCATTGTGTATTGCACTTGGGAACAAAGCTAATTAATATTTTATTCCACATGGCAGCCACATCTCACATTGTGGAACAAACTCATCAAGATATTTGTCGGCTTTCACCACAGATCTTTCTCAACCATGCAGACACACAAGTGATTTGCTCTGTGCACAGTTACAGAAGCTCTGGCGTCACCATTGAATATGTTTCTCCGTGATGACCTTCGGTATGATCACCACTTCACCACTGGAAAATAAGAGGTTGGAAGGCGGCCAATGCTCTCGGTACCAGTACACCCCTTAATCCTCGACTTTCCACTGCAAGACTGCAGCTGATGCAGTTTAAACCCAACCTCCAAGGTATGTTTCCAATCCAGCGTTCAGTCTTCCCAGGGTCCGAGTAACCCTGAATTGGGCACTGGCCCTCAGAGTTACGCTGGGAAATATTAAGTGCAAAACTCCATAACAGCGGCAACATTACGCCGTATTCCAGTTCGCTTTTCACTTTGCTAAACCTCGCGCGTACAATAGGATGACAGGCTTCATAATAAATAAATGCTGCAAAGGCTGTTGATCGTGGCAAATGACAACGGTGACGGCTACTACAGCTTTGATTACATCACAGCAGTTGCACGACTGATGTGAACAGGAGCATCGCTCAAAAACAGAAGTGGAAAACGGCCTATTGTCCTTTTTTACAGTGCTTGTTGATGAGGCTAAGGCCATCAACGTTTACTGTACACGAACATCTGGTTTTATCTTAGTTAGAAGCTCATGACGAATACCCAGCATTGCTGCATTGGTTCAAAGACCGCAAGCATAGCAGTACCCATCTCTGAGCTGCCCAGCCACCTTCAAGTCAAGGGATCTTTGAAGTCCACGTGCAAATGGGATGACAGGGTTTGCATTTTCCCCAGGGGCAGAAGCGCTTGTAACGCCGTTCCCACAGCTATGAGCCAAATTCTGGGATTTTCCAGCTGAACCCGTGACCTTTGGAACGTGGGTGTGCTGCTCAAAAAATGTGGAGGCTGCGAGGGATGCTGTCCCTCAGCCCTTCATCCTCAGCCTTTGTGTAGGTGCAATATGCACACATTCCGACTGTACTTATTATGCATTAATTGGTCACGTGATATATTCAACCACAATGTTGGAATACGTGCCATAATTAAAAATAGTACACAAGTACAGCATATGCAACAAGTTAAACTCTTGGTACAGATTCTCTTTGTCACAAGTTTATTTTTTAAAGTCTCCTATTAAAGCCTCCCTAAAGACTATTTCCAAAATAATGTTTTAAGATTACACAGGATATGAATATGAAGGTTTCCCAGACTCTCCTAAAGAATGTTGTTTTGTCAATGACCGTTTTCACATTATTCTACAATAGCCCTACTTAAGTTAATTACCGTAGCGGCACTGAGTCCACGGTTGTTTGCATTCAAGTAGATGGGATTTTTGCAATGGCCAAATAAATTCCCATGAAATTGAATTGCCTACCGTGACATCTGCTAGCCTGAGCAGTCCCGCCAGCCTTCAGTCAGTATTCGTGCAAGTGTGTGAAGCATCCCTCGCAGCCTCCACATTTCTTGTGTGAAGCTCCTGGGCCAAAGCCGTTACTTCGCAAATGTGCCAAGTTGAAGTTAATGTCACATAAGAGCGTCCCTTTAGAACCAGCACTGGAGATTACAAAAGAACATTCATCACGTCATACATCTCAGAAGTCGTCTGTTTTCATAATTGCCATGAATCTGGGTTATTTATTAATTTAAGGCAATGTAAAAAAATTGCCGTACAGTATTACATTTTTTGCTGCCCACAAAAAATCCTTTCCTGTAATTATATCCGAGGTTGTGCACATTGGTTTGTTTGGAAATGTAAACAATGGCTAACGTCCCTATGCCATAAATTAGTGGCTTGGTCGAGCTTGGTAAAATGTGCGTCACAACGGGGTTTCTTTTTCATTTGTGATGGCAACAAACAATGACGAGCGGGCCACGCGTCATCTCTACCGGGGCCACAAGCTGCCGAGAAAGATGGTCACCATCTCATGCTCACTTGAGCAAAGAGACGCTCAGACATTTTACACGTAAATGTTGGATAGCGAAATGCTTCTATAGGATAATGCAGACAACAACGTAAACTCCAGCTTTATCACAGTGATGGACATGTGCCTGTATATTTGGAGTTAGCAAGTTCTACCCGTGGTCGCATGGGTATTTCTCTGGGTCATGCTGTTTTTCCCCTCTACATTTAGAAACACACGTTTAGAATATTTGGCTACTATAAATTTCCACATGATAAGCCACTTTGTTGAGCTGTAATTTGTGGCCAGGTCGCTTCTGAAAATGAGCTTCATAGCTCAGTGGGCTTTACCTGGTAAAATAAAAAAAATGTTTCTAATTTTAGAACACAGTGAGTACTAAAGCCAGGCCAAACGATGAGCATAATGCTAACGACGATGGAGGTATTTAATAAAACGGGGGAGGCAGCTTTAATGTGGAATAAACTAGAATAGAGGTTGCATATTTACGAAATTATTAATACTCTTTGGTTTTTTTTCTGTAAAGTTACGTAGGTAAAGTAAAATAAAACAAATCACGACGTTTCGGAGGCAACACAAGCTTCCGTCTTCATATGGAACAGTCACAGCAGGATCGCTGCATCAAGTGGGGAGGCTCTGAAAGCCTCGAGCTTAAATACAGGTTAAGGGGGGGGGAAGAGCCAAGTAGGGGACATTGATGGGGTGCGGGGCTAAGTTAATCCGTCTTTTGTTATGTTGAGGGTGCGGGGGATGCGGTGGGTCACTGCACGGGGGCAATGGGAAAATGGAAGCAAAATGTAAAAATTCGGAAAGAATATGCTGTGTGCTTATAAGGTAGACTTGGTTTATGACATCTTTCCAGTGGTTGCTTAATTTAAAACCATCCTCTCGGTTGAAGTTGTGTCTATGTTTGTATATCTGGATGGCTTCATGGACAAATCTTTGGTAATAACCGGGAGGTTTGCATAGTACTTTGGTATCGGAGAAAACAATCTCATGAGAATACACAGCGGGTTCTCAAGATATTGTTTTCTCCGATACCAAAGTACTATGCAAACCTCCCGGTTATTACCAAAGATTTGTCCATGAATCCATCCAGATATACAAACATAGACACAACTTCAACCGAGAGGATGGTTTAAAATTAAGCAACCACTGGAAAGATTTCATAAACCAAGTCTACCTTATAAGCACACAGCATATTCTTTCCGAAATTTTTACATTTTGTTTCCATTTTCCCATTGCCCCCGTGCAGTGACCCACCGCATCCCCCGTACCCTCAACATAACAAAAGACGGATTAACTTAGCCCCGTACCCCATCAATGTCCCCTACTTGGCCCCCCCCCCTCCCTTAACCTGTATTTAAGCTCGAGGCTCTCAGAGCCTCCCCACTTGATGCAGCGATCTTGCTGTGACTGTTCCACCTGAAGACGGAAACTTGTGTTGCCTCCGAAACGTCGTGATTTAATTGTTTTAATTTATTTTATTTTACCTACGTGACTTTACCGAAAAAAAGAGTATGAATCCTTGCAGTCACGAAAGCTTCAAATCTAGAAATATTTAATGTCTAATTTCTACAGCTATCCATATTTACTTGATTTTTGTGTTCAGTTTGTTGTCCTTCCCCCGATTGGCATGGTTGGCTATGTCCGGTGCGAAACAAGTTCAACATATAGCCTTCATACATTACTTATCATATTTCCTGGCAACAGTCGCAGCTAAAATATACAAGAGCGAATGGGATTTAAATCCATTTGCAGCTTCTAAGAAAAGCACTAACTGCACAGTTTCACGTGGTTATCTGCTGCTATGCATTGCAAGGAATGTGTTTATGCTGTTTAAGATATCTGCATATTCCCAGAGATGCACATTCTTTAAGCTGGGTTGTCGAAGCCCCTGGTGTAATGTCTCCATCAGGAAAGTGAACCGTGTTGACGTGTATTTTTGCACATGTTAAAGCCCTGGTGTATGAACTCTGCTTGGCTAGTTTTTGCGCAGGTGTTTATAAAGTGAGAGAGCAGCTTCTCGGGAGCTTCCTGTCAGCTGAATACTCAAAACAAGCATGGTGAAGTATGGTCAAACAACCCCATTACTGATGCAGCATGGGAGGCCTTCATCTAGCAGTGGATGGACAAATAGTTAAGGGGTGCCGGGGTGGCAAGATGTTATCTCCCTGGCCTGGTATACTGGAGATCGTGACGCCTCTATATTCGGAGTTCTCGCCGTGGTCGTGTGGATTTTTCGCCGGTCCTCGAGTTTTTTTCCTCCGCAATTTAGAACCACGCGTTTAGAGTATTTGGCTGCTATACATTTCCGCGTGATAAGCCACTTTGTTGAGAGCTATCATTTGTGGCCAGTCGCTTCTGAAAAAGAGCTACATAGCTCAGTGGGTCTTAGCTATTAAAATAAAAAAAAGTTTTATATCCAGTAGTATTAATAATTATTATGAGTGAAGGCATACTTACGCGAAATAATAATCTCTAACCCCCGTTTCCTGCAAAGGAAAAACTACTTCCTACAATATGGAAACACATTGTAGAGTTCCCGCAGATATTGGTTAGATTAATTTACACCCACAAGGCGCCCTGTTTAACAAGTATCACAAAAAGGGCACCGGTGTGCATTTTACCACTGCATTTTTACATTTTATGGTTTTTCGTTGGGTCGAGTAAATTACGACACTGGCCTTTTTTATTCCTGGAATTCCTCCTTCCTTGCTGCATAGCTGCAAAAATTCCTGCCTAAAAAAAGGGCCAATCAGTTTAAGTGGAGGAGTCTCGGCTCACGGGTCGTGAAAATTGGACACGCGGGTTGGGTTCATGACCAACAGAAGCAACGGGAGGCGAGGTTGAGTGTGCTCTTTGCGCGTCACTCATCCCTCCTCCGATTGAAGCGTCAAGCCTGGCTGGCAGAGCCTGCCCTCGCAGGAAGACAAGGGCCCAGTGTGCAAGCCATTTCCTCTCCATCTCACGCCAAGAGCGGTGGAGCCACGGAACGCGCCGCGCAGCTTCGCCAGAGGGACAGCAACTTCCCTCCCGCCCCGTCAGCGCCCGGCGCTCCCCCTTCCCAGCCAGCTCCGTGTTCTTTCACAGCAGCGGATGTTCTTTCATTCGAGCGTGCTGCGCAGGAAGAGATGCCGCGCTGAAAACGACCAGAAACTAAGATATCGAGGGATTCATTTGGCGGAGGTGAGGATTTTTACATTATAATTATATGTTCATTTGTCGAACATGCGTAGGAAGTATGTAAAGAATGTGAGAGTTTGGCTCCTGTGATATCGGGGAAGTGGTTTGGAATAGTTTACACAGCTGGATCTGTTCCCATAAAAACATCCCTGATGGCTGGGAACGCTCCACTGGGTTCCTGCGGGTGACCTCTCGAGTTAGTGCATCCACGGCACTCGCCAAGCTGCGTAAACATGGACGCAGCGTTGGGTGATTCGTATTGTTGGTGACACGGCGTACATGCTGCTTGCCTTTAGGTTTTGTAGTGAAAAAAAAAGCTTTGTCTTGTTACTTAAACAACAGAACCGGTGGTCATACTTTTACGCATTGGCTGTTTTATTTTTGATGTTTAAAAAGCTTTATGTGTTCTCCATTACATAATTTGAAATGTGTAGCTCGTGTTGAGGATGTCCGACTCGTTCCGTTTGAGTCAATATTTAATACACATCTGCATTGCGTGCACGCACTTAGCAAGCACAGTCTCGCTTTATTTCTTACTTTAATGACTTTATAGTTCATAAAGAAAACTTTTTTTTAATAGTTTACACATTTTATACGGTCGTTTCAGTTGACGACTTCTCTATAAAACGTTATGCTAGTAGTGTATAGTTGTATAAGCTCGTACACTGGACTCTCAGTCAACATTCGTTTAATGCCCAACCTGGTGGTTTAATCCTTGGACGAATTGCTTCATACAATATAATTTTTGTTGTCCCATGATAACACTGCTACAAAGTCATCTGTTGATCCACTTGTGGTAAGGTGCAATGTGGGTACCTCCACCTAACAATCTGTCCGGCTAGCACTGGGGTCGGCAACCTACGGCTGCTTCATATTCAGTGGGCATCTGAGAAAATAGCCTTATAGCTCATCGGATTCCTCCAGTATAAAGACATATTCTTATTCATTGCAGATCTTGAAATATTGAGTTTATTTTTCCGAATTCGAACTTGTTATTTTGGTTGCCGATCCCTTGACCCGCACATAAGTTGAGAAAAAACTCTCCCTGAATAAATATAGTGGTCTAATTCTGTATGTTTACATTAGCTTTATTAAGGGGTTATTTTGCAGAGGCAGGCATTGGAGTGGTCTTATGTCGGTCCGGCGACCAAGATGAAGACCTCAGGCCAGATGTTGGGAGACTGTTAGGGCAGATCTTAGGGGGCCACGGTGGCAAGATGTTAACTGCCTCGCCAGGTATACAGGAGGCCGTGGGTTCGATCCCGAGCCTGACGCCTGCTGCATATTTGGAGTTTGCATGTTATTCCCCGTGGTCGCGTGGATTTTTCTCCGGGTCCTCCGGTTTTTCCCTCCAAATTTAGAATGCGAGGTGTGGTGGCATCTACAGCGTTGGCCGTGACGACATCGCGACATTGATCTGTTGCTGCGACATAACAACACACACTGGTGCTGGACATGCTTTGCAAGTTAATATGTTTAGGAATCTAATTCTATTCGTGCAGAATTTGGGGATGGAAAAAAAACAATATTGAGGGGCAGAAGAAGGGAGGCGATGGTGGTCGTGCGAGGAGAGAGGAGTGGCTCATCCTCAATAGCTCTTCCACGTGTATGTGTGCGCCCACTAGCCTCTGCCTCGGATAGCTTTATCACGCTGAAAGGTCCAACGAAGCCCATTTCTCAAAGCCCCTATCGCTGTCAGGTGACTGACTCATGACTTTTCCCAACTCCGTTGATCGTCGTCAGCCATGATAAATCCACTGTTGTGTGAAATCGTCCCCAAGTTTGTCGCCATCTTTCACAGTCCTGTGAAGTTACGATCCATCTCGTAAACTGCACATGAGCTGGTTGTATAAGGAGAACATCAACTGTGGTTGTGATGGTGGCAGAGATGTTATTCTCCAGGAGTGAATGAGGAGGAACACAGAGTTTTCACTCAGAAGAATGGAATACTCCTAATAAACAACATGAGAGGATGCAGGCTAAGTTGAAATAGCCAAGGCAAGAGGTTCGAGTTAGACTGGCTAACTATCGTATTGAATATAGGCAGAGGCAGGCAGAGGAAATGGAAGATTCTAGCATAAAGAGGGATATAAATAGATAGATTTTTACAGTCAGTTCACTTCGTGGTAAGAGGGATTGTAATAATACAGTGTAAGTGTTTAGAGCAAATTAATGCCCCCAGATCCCATGGTGGAAATTCCATATTTCCATGGCAGAGGCTAGCCTCTTCATACGAGCAAATCTGCCCTCCCACAAACGCACATAAACATCGACATTCAACTTAAACATAGAAACTTTTCTCAGCATTAACATACTTCACTGTACTACTAAATTACTAGGGTGCACCTTATTGTTGGTCAGAGTCAATATGCACAATATTCCTTTTTTGTTCGTCTCCCTACATTGAGCTGAGAGCCTTTTCAGAGATCAGGGCCCCGGATGTGGTGGCAGCAGCAGGAGGAGCAGCAGCAGGATTAAGGGGATAATTTTTGTTACAGACTGGTGAACACAGTAGTTGCACACAAATCGCCAGGCGTTCACTGCTCCTTGTTGCAAAATCTTGCACAGCGTTTATGAATTGCAGTCTTTATTCGCGTCGTTTTTGGTGGGTTTAAAAATAATCATTCCTGAGGTGTCCAACAATCGGGTGGTTTTGCTGCCTTCATTTAATGAGTTAGGTCTTAGTTTAAGCTTTGTATTATTGTATTTCCCATGAAAGCGGGATAATATTTAATAAAAAAAAACAATTTTTATTATAATTTTCTGGATAGATTGTGGTCTTTGCTATCACCATCGTCATCAGTCATGATCCATCCACTTTTGGATGAAGGCTTCCACAGGCTGTTGTCATCCCTCATGGTCTCATAATCCAACAACAAATCTGGCTCCTGCAAATGAGCTGAGCTCATATCTCCATTTGTGTCGTGGACTTTGTCTTGTGGGCGTGTTCCATTTTTTGGCGGTGATTTCACCACCAGTCTCGGCCTGTAACCTGGATGGTAAAAGCGAGACGTAATTATACATTATTGAATTAAATGGCAGCCCTGAACCATTAAATATCATAAATCATCATGGGGTGGGGGGGGAATGATTACACCAGTGCATCTTAGTCTAAGATGCCTGATCCCCATATTTCCTGCTTGCCTAAACGGCCCAACAAAGTAAGCCAGGCAGGAAATCTCAGCAAGAAGACACCTGCTTGGCCTAAAAATAAAAAAAGGCATTTAGAAAATTTAAAAAAAATTAAACGAGTAAAATAACCAATAGAAGCGTCCTATGTATCTTTATAACGTTAATCCAGTTTACTGATTACACATCTTCATACTACCATATGCATAAAAAAGCATCCATGGTGAAATTAGCAATTGCATTGCTGTAATACCATGAGATCTCACCCAGTCAATCAGAACCCTTGTTGCATGTTCAACTAAATGCATCTCACAGTGCATTTATGGTTTCGCTCTGTTGCAGAGCCACGTTCAACTTTATTTCCTTCGCAGCGAGCATTAAACACAACTTTCTTTCAAGAAACATTACCGCATTAAATTTTGATTTAAAGCTTTCGTGACTGCAGTAATTCATATTCTTAGCTCTTTCGGTAAAGTCACGTTGAAGGGAAACGTCGTGAGAATTTTTTATTGTTTTATATATATTTTATTATTTTATTGTTTCCCTTCAACGTGACTTTACCGAAAGAGCTATTGAAAGGAGACACAGTAGGGTAGTGAAGATATGGATTATTGCCTTCCCTGCATGAGATATGACCAGTAACGGATTAGATAATGCTCATTTTTAGTTTTTCGTGCTATTGAGATATATGTTTGATTATCGCGCACACGGTAATTTGCTGTCCCCATTCACTTTCGTAAGTCTTCAAACAATCATAAAAACAATCCTCGCAAGCCTTCATTATGTTATGCAATTGCACTGTTTAACATTTTTCTGCTTATTAACAAAGAAAGTCAACATGTGAACAATCTGTATGCTCCTGAGGTGAAACAGATACGTTGGTAATGTTATACGTTTATATTGTTATCATGTACATTGCATTACTGTAGAGTGGTCTCAGACCACAAATATGGAATTCCTGTTTATAGCTGCATGTTCCTGGATTTCCATCTAAAGCATGATTAGAGAGCACAACTGGAGATGCATATGCAATTGTAGTGTTAATGATTGGACTGTAAATCTAAGTTGTATTATTGTACTAAAACCCACTTGTAATGGCTTGCCACGTTACGTTGAGATAGAAATTATTATTATTATACCGTGTCACTGCAATTTGCTCACAGTTGCTGGACCTGAAATGGAAAACGGCAATAACAGCAAACAAAGTCTCAAGGATTATGAATTCGAGGCTTCTCAGCTCGGCTACCTGCTGGATAATCTCTCCAATATGACGCAAAGCGCTGGTAAGTATGCGTTTTTCTTAAATTATATCTTTGTGCAATGAATCGTACCCAAGCCCATATACTTTTCTTCACAGTGAAGATGATGCATCTAATTTGCATTTGTTCTCTGATCCACGTATTCCTCTTCTGTCTCACAATATGATTATCTTCATTAATGTCTCCATGCTTCCTTGTATACTGTACATTTCAGCTTTCATCCCGTGTTTTATGTCAGTCTATGTTTGTGATTCAGATATCAGGCGGATTCGAGGACCACATAAATAAAGATATCACTCTATGTTTATTTTTTTGTTCATAGGTTAACGATTCATTTTATTTACTTTATGTAGCATCCTGCCTGGATCCTATGTCAACAATTCGCATCATAAAGCCAACCCTAACATGGGGTGGACTTCAGAGAGAGACTCTCCTGCTCTTGTGTAAGACAAAGTTTGGATGTAATTGCAATTTAAAACCAATTTCTTGAGAACTGCCTCTTGTGCTTAGTTTGTTGTCCTTCCCATACACCTCCGATCAGCATGGTTGGCTACGTACGGTGCGAGGGAAGTTCAACATACACACATATAAAACCCCGAGGGTGCAGCGTGTTCTGATGGTAATGGGGTGTGGCGTCGTCCCTAGGCCTGGACGGAACGTGGAAATCGAGACATCAGTAATTTCATGAAACTTTACCATCACCGGGGACACCAGAATTGGGAAGAATATGTTCCTACGCTGGGGCGATCTCTGCGCAACATGCAAAAGGCTCCCACTGAAGGCAGTAGCTTGCTCAGAAAACTTTGAACCCTTAGACCCACCAGTCCACCGGGAAGGTAGGAAGGAAATCTTGGTTTGGGCCTTTTGGAGTTTCTCCAATTATGCACTTTAGAGGTGATATCCCCAAAATAAAAACCCTAGCCTCACACGTTATGTTCGATTTTTATTTTTCTGACCTCGAGGGCCCAGGGTAAAGTCCCAGCAGATTCATATGTGCTTTTATCAAGAAATGTGTTCTTGGTTAGTGACCATAACATCTTATGTTCAAGAATATTCAAACGCTAAATTCTGAATCATTACGATGAAGGTTAAATTACAGCATAGGGGAGTCTGTGTCAAGGTTATAGGAGCAGACATTTCCGCTTCCATCATGCAAATACTTGGTTCTGTCATTATTTTTATGGCAACAGAAAAACCCTAACAGCCCACATTCTGTTCACAGTGATGGAGTCAGAGCAGAGGTTCCCTGAGCCATGCTGGGACTTCAGGAAACCAGAGAGCCAAATACACAGGCAGGCCGAGCAAGCAAACCTGGCAAAACAAAAAGCCGAGTCAACGACACGGCCGTGGCCTACTCAGCTGAGCTCTGCATGGGATGCGCTCTCTGCCTCAGCTCTGCATACCTTCCCCAGGTAAGATGTCTGTGCACGACGGGGTACAGGAAACAATACCATCCCCTCTGAAACCACAACACCGTGCAGGAGGCATGTAGGGCAATTTACCAATAAAAGCTTTGTAATGGTCACCCAGATGTCAGTGAAAAAGAGAGCGACCTGAATCCACATGGTAGGATACTGCAAGAGTGGACCTTGAGGGTTGGGCAACAACCATAGAACACTTTTAGAACCTGGTAGAAGGTATTAAATGTTGGATCAGTGCGTTGACATCGGAAGCTTTGGATCTCTTGACATTTTTCTCAAAGCGGTGACTCAGTGTAGGCAACACTCCTCTGCTCCTGCTCACCCTCCCCACTAACATGCTTTTTCCACACAGATCGCGGCCTCTGCTGTGCGAATCGAGCGTGGGGCGGCCCCGGGCGGCCAGCTGCGGCTGCTCGCTCAATCGCAGGGCCCCCCCACCGACCCGGCCGGGGCCCGTGCCGCACGGCACCCTGCGCAGGGCCCTCCAGGCCGAGGAGGTGAGCGCCACCGCTCATTTTAAAGTGCCCTGGAAAGGGCGCTATATAAATCCGAAATAGAAAGAATGATTGCGGCCGCACAGGGGTCAGCTCACTTCAGGAAACATGAGTATGTGGGGGCCGACGTCCACCCCACCGCCCTCGCCGGGCAGGTGGGGCGCGATGTCCGCCCTTTCCACTCCCTCCTCCACTCCCTCCTCCACCACGTCGATCGGCTCCCGCCGGGCCCCCACTGACCGGGTGATTGGCCCCCCCGCGCTAAAGCCCTCTCTGAGGGACATGACTGAACTACTGGGTTGCCGCCATACAGAGATAGTCCTCACTTGCACACACACCAACACTCACGCCAACGCAGCGCACAGCTGTATGACCGCACCCACACCTGCGAGCGGTTTCCTCTTAACACACACTACAGCTAACGCTAGCGGCTGCGCGAACACGTGTGCATGCCTGCGGGCGGTTAAATCCAATTCCGCATCCGCACAAAGACTAGCACTATGGCGGTGGTGCGAACATACATGCACCGGTGGGCAGTTATACGCTACCCCGCACCCGCACTAAGACTCGCACCTGCACACACAACAATTTTAAGCGAATTTAGGGGCGCCGCAATCTGATTTGTCCTGGGGGGGTCGGCCAATCTTCTGGCACCGGGAAACCGCGGGACTTCCCACCTAGGGGCCGTTCGGATGAAAACCCGTTGTGCCAGGCGATCCCCCACTGGGACACTACGTGTGTGTGTGTGCTGCGTGCGTGCGTGCGTGTACTCAGGGGAAGGGGTAGGGGAGAATCGCGACGCTTGCGGAGTTGCTCCGCGGTCATGGCACCACAAGTATGTGTGCTGCTCATGTCAGTCCAAGTCCACTGCTAAATGGGGACCTCTCCGTACCAACAATCTTCGTACAGTACCAACAACTCATGATTGTTGGTGCCTTTGAAATCTTGTGATGCGTCTCCTGTCAAATAAAATTTGGTCAGGTGGCTAAGAGGTCAGAGCACTTAGTTGGCAATCCTGGGTTTGAATCCAGGCAGCTGTCAGTAATTAAACATGCTTCTAATATGTAATTGCAGTGAATTGAAGGTCTCAGCCCAATTACTAATGACTGCACATGAAAACCCTTACATTGATTTGGTTTGTACTAAATTTGGTTAAATTCCAGCTCTTAGAATAACAAAATGTCAGTTATCCTGTCATGCAATATTTATTGCTCTCTCGGGTAGTTTTGGGTGGGAAATTGCTGTCCCCTACTCTTTGGACCAGAGGTCATGTGAAGAAATCTCAGAGGTATGTCTGTGATATCTGCTTGAGTGGGCCGTTCTTTAACATGGATGATCGCGTTGCTGTGCGAGAGTTCCGAATGGATTCATCGCCTCGTGAGGTGACTCCAATAGTACAATTGGGACAAATTTCTGGATGAAGTAAAAACAAAACCACGTACAAAGTTTCACCGGGAATGCTGGTTCTTGGAGGCTCTCCTGTAATTTAGCACGGTTGGCCACATCCGGTGCTAAAGAAGTTCAACACACATACGCACATTCACATAGGGGTTGTGTGCGTAACGCAACGCCGATCCTTCTGACCTCTGCTGTGCTGCCGTTGGTCGTGTGTAGCGGTGCAATGACTTTGAGGCAGAGAACGCCACGCTGCACGCGGAGAACTCGCGGCTACAGCTGGAGCTGGCCACAGCGCACATCCAGCTGTCGGCGCTGCAGGCACATCTCGAGTCGCTGTGCGACCACACGCGTGAATTCCTGCTCGCCCAGATGGAGACGCTGCACGTGCCTAGGGACACTCTGGGACGCTGATGCTGATGCCGCTCTTCGCTCATCTCCTTTTCCTGTCAGGGGGTCGACTGGCGAATATTTCCCAGCCGAAAGACACACGTGGTTTAATTCTCACCGAGAGGAGTCCTTATGGGCACTGTGACGAGGGTAACGGGATATGACGTGCAAAAGGTCATACAATGTAATGTTAAAAATAAGCTAGTCATATGGGTAATTTACTATTTTTAATTTACTATTTTTATTATTTTTATTTTAACAGTTAAGGCCCACTGAGGTATTAGTTCTTTTTTAGAAGCGATTTGGCCATAAATAATAGCTCAACGAAGTGGCTTATCAAGTGCAAATGTGTAGCAGCCAAATATTGTAAAGTCATGTTTCTAAATGTGGAGGGAAAAACCAGAAGACCGGGAGAAAAATCCACATGACCACGGGTAACCTTGCTATTCATAGCTCTCACCATAGCAATTACTTTCACCCATGGTCATGAAAATGGTTGATTGCACGAATGCTGTGAAACTCCCCGTCGGCGTCGAGCAGGAGCAATCCCCTGACTTGCCAGAAGATGGCGGTACAGGAAGTGGACTAATAATTTATTTCCATCTATACAGGGATAATGTTTCCCCCTCAAGTGCGTGGGTTTTCTCCAGGTGCCCGGGTTCATGGCTTTTGTATAAACACTCACAAATTGTATGATTTTTTTTATTGGATCCATTGCATATCCAATGGTTACAGACGAGAGGACACTGGCTGAAATCTTCTCAAAATAAAAAAACGCATTGCAGGACCCTCCTGAAAAAAGAGTCCTACGATTCAGGGTGGCGCTCCTGGACAATTAAACAAAATAAAGTAACTGCAGCAAAAACACTCACACTAACCTTAACACACACTCAAATTATAACTTTAAAAGCAAGTGGTGGGCAGCCAACCCGACGGTGGTTGGTTTTCCCTCAATCAAAGGGCTGTCAGGTGAAAATTAGCATGTTAATGAGAGATTAGCATGTTAATGAGAGATTAGCATGTTAATGAGATATTAGCATGTTCATGGAGGATCGCAGAGCCGCAACCGAGGGGTCGGTGCGCGAAGAGGCTGTGTTAGTGTGAAACCTGTGAAAGCGCAAGTTTGAAATGGGCGTGAAGCACAACTAACATTGGAAGGTGGTAGGATAGAAACATCATAGCCAGTTATGGAGGTGGAAAAGGACAGCAAGCAACCATTCTTGGATGTTCTAATCAAAAAGAGACCAGGTGGCTCAATAGGAGACTCTTTCTACATGAAAGCCACCCATACGGATGCATATCTAAAACCTGACTCCCACCACCATCCATCCCAGAAGAATTCCCTCATCAAAACTCTATACCATAGAGGTCGATGTATTTCCGACCGTCATCACCTAGCCAGTGAACTGGAACACGTACACCAAGCTCTCAGACTCCACAATCCGTAAAGCTATCACCCCAACCGTTGGGAAAGAACCATCTGAGGACCCAATTAAAACAATCACCTTGCCATACATAGCAGGGGTCACTAAAAAGATTTTCAAAATCATGAGCAAACAAAAGTTCCAGGTTCGATTTAACACAGTACATAAAATTCGTGATCTGATCCCATCTGTGAAGGATGTGTTCCCTGACAAGCATTACCGTATTTTCCCGCATATAACCCGCGGGGTATACCATTTTTACAAACAAAACAAGACCCTGCGGGATATATGGAGGTGCGAGCTATCCCAAAAATCTTTTACACGTGTTACATGTCATAACTCGTTTAATTTTTTCATGGTAGGACTATCCACTATGCAACACTTACCTTTGACTAAAGCACTGCTGAATAAACCACTCATAATAAAATTGCACACGTTATCACGTTTTAAATTATTCGAATTGTTTGTACAATGAAACGACATGGGCGCACTTTGTTTACCGGCGATGGGTGAGCTGGGGGGAGAGAGAGGTGGGGGGTTGGGGGCGAGGCAATGGCGTTACCGTTGTGCCGCTATTGTCTGTGCAGTGCGCAATCTACCAGTACTAAAACTGTACGTACTTATCTACCAGTTATGTGTTACTTATTTATTGGATATTTACTTTTGTTACTTATTTACTGTTTTAAGTTCACTCGTTTCTGGTTAGTTTGTATTCTTTGTGCACGTTATGATTTAAATGTTAACAATTGATAGTGTAATGTATTACAAATGTGAACTTCGTACTCATATGATGAAATTAAGCTGCGGTAACGACTTTAAAGATATGAATGCATGCGGGGTATATGGAGGTGCTGGATCTCTGAAATTTGTTTTATACAAAACGCTATTTTTGCGGGGTATATACGTCTGCGGGTTATATGCGTATGCGGGCTATAGGAGGGCAAACATGGTACCCGAGCGTCTATAAACTAAGCTGTGTCTGCGGCAGTAGTTACATTGGGGAAACTAAGCGACATGTCTCGGACCGTGTTCGTGAACATAAGGCAGATCTTAAACACGGTAGGACCAATACCTCAGCCGTGGCTGATCATTGTTTTAATGCGGTGGGCTCACACGAAATTGATTTATCTAAGACGAAGGTACTTTGCAAGCCCACTCGCTATCAACAAAGATTCGTTCATGAAGCCATCCATATATATAGACACAGACACAATTTCAATCGAGAAGACGGGTACAAACTGAGCAATCATTGGAAGGACGTTAGCAACCAGTTTAAGTCATAATTGGCTATGATGTTCCCATCCTACCACCTTCCGATGTTAGTTGTGCTTTATGCCCATTTCAAACTTGTGCTTTCACAGGATTCACACTAACACAGCTCTTCGCGCGCCGACCCCTCGGTTGCGGTTCTGCGATCTTCCATTAACATGCTAATCTCTCATTAACATGCTAATTTTCACCTGGCAGCCCTTTGATTGGTGGAAAACCAACCACCGTCAGGTTTGCTGCCCACCATTTGCATTAACATTGGCGGCTGACATTTGGGCTACCCCCATTTAAAACCCTTATAAATAGTTTGCCTTTGGAAACTAATCCCCTTTTTCCTGAAGACGACCACTTGTATTGCAATCGAAACCTCGTAGTTTTTGTTTTTTGTTATTGTCTTTGAAACTATCTACGTGACTTTACCGAAAGACCCAAAGAATATGAATTCCTGTAGTCACGGAAGCTTTAAGTCAAAATGTAATAAAACTACTGTATAGCTGTAGCCTAACTCTGATATATTCTTTAATGTTAACCAATGCAGACCATTATGCTTAAAAATTAGAGCAATGTAAAGAGGATAAAAATGCATAACTTATCCTGTATACATGATATCACTTGGTTTTTACACCACCACTTAAACAGCATATTGGATCATGTGTAATTTTGACAACTGCTATAAAGCTATTCGTTAACAAATACACTCTTTAACTGGGAAGAGTTGAGGCCAAGTGACAACGTCCAGGGGCATCGTGCGAGCAAGCCACCTTGGCCATTCGAAGTGAGCATGCTACGGGAGGCTTGCAGAGTCATAACGGGAGCGCCCAGTGCCGGTGCCATTGAGACTTTCGGAGGTGGCTCCCCTCAGCATTACTTGCAGATTTACGCAGCAACTATTACTGTGGGCTGGCAGCTTCGGAAGAAATAGAATAGCCCCCCCCCCACCCCCCATTTCTTAAATTGACATCTTCCTCAAACACAACCCCTTTTTAAAACTTCGGTCTAAAACTTTAAAAGAGGATTTCTGTGCTTCTGTAATAACATAGTGACATCTTCTGGTTGGAAAAGGGAAGCACAGGCATAGGCACCACTATAAACATCATCCAATCCCAAAGGGAGAGGTATCTTGGCCAAAGGTAAAGGGCGGGGTTGGCCGAGATACTCCGGCAACCGGCTAGAAGGTTCCATGAGAGGGCGTCGCCGGAGGCGGAGCCAATGCGCGCCTGCGACAATATAAGCAGAGGCGGAGGAGGACTTGTGGTCGGTGTGGGGAGCCTTGGGTCCGGACTGCGGTGCTGCTCGCCGTCATCTCTCTCCGTCATTTTGCCACGTGGCAGATCTCCTGCGGAGTCCTACCACCCTCGCCGGCGCGCCGTGAACCAGCGGCGAAGCCGGGAGTGGGCGGACGAAACCATGCTGTGGGATCGACCACGTGTAGCCTGTAGGGATGCTAATATCTACGTGTGTACTCGGAGAAGGAAGAGGATAAGGTTTATCTTCTTTGGTTCTTTCGGTAAAGTCACGTAGAATGATAATAAAATAATAAATTGATAAAATAAAATAACACAATAATATTCTCACGATGTTTCGGCCACAACACAAGCGGCCTTCATCAGGTGAAGGGGGCGAGACTGTCTGGTAGGACAGCGCTGGAGTGAAAGAGCCACGTTCAGATACGGCCTTTAAGCTGTGTGAGAGGAACAAAGCGCCTTGACAAAGGAATTAGCATATAATTTAGCATTGAAATGGCTGAATGATTAGCTTGTGACTGGTCACAGAAATAGCTATGTTAAAAGTTAAAGCATACACACCCGCAGAGGCACCCATTGTTAAAGGGATTAGCATAGAATTTAGCATTGAAATAGCTAAGTTAAGGCATACACATCTTGACAATGGAATTCGCATAGAATTTAGCATTGAGATAGCTGACTGATTAGCTTGTACCTGCTGCAGAAATAGAGCTTGTATCTGCTTTAGAAATAGCTACGTTAAAGTCAGAGCATACACATTCACCGAGGCCCTTAGTACAAATCAAACAGGAGAATTTAGCATTGAAATGACTAGGCGAATCCAGCATTGAAACAACTGAGTGATTAGCTAGTGACTGGTCACAGAAATGACTACACATCTGAGCTATTCACAGTACTATATAGTGAACCAATAAAAACTAAAATATAAATTACCTTCATGTTATCAATAAACTCTATATTCTCCAATCAGCTAAGCTACCAACAATAAGTAGTTATATATCACAATGCTATATGGCGAAAAAATGGGTGGATTCTTACCCTCAAATTTCAGCACCACGGGCCCCGTTCAGACGGACGAGTTCGTCCATGGTCGGAACAGAGGAGGGGGAGAGAGACAGCTGCGAGGCCCTAGTATGCTCCATATTGTAAAACTATACCATTAACCGTGGTGTGAGAGGTATTAAGAGGCAATGCTGGCGAAAGAGCTGCGGTCTGAAGGTCATCGTAAAAAATACAATTAATTAAGAACAGAAATGATTTAAAACATCTTTCCAGTGGTTACTAAGCCTGAATCCATCTTCTCGGTTGAAATTGTCTCTGTGCTTGTATATGTGAATGGCCTCATGAACGAATCTCTCATGGTAGCCGGTTGGTTTGCAAAGAACCTCCGTCTTGGAGAAGTCAATGTCATGTGAGCCCACTGAATTATAACAGTGATCTGCCACGGCAGAGGAGTTCGTCCTACCGTGTTTCAAGTCTGCTTTGTGTTCGCGGATGCGGTCCGAGATATGTCTTTTGGTTTCTCCAATGTAGCTACTACCACAGAGGCACTTTAGTTTGTAAACGCCCGGGTACTGTATGTCTGGAACAGCATCTTTTACAGATGGAACTAAATCACGGATTTTATGTACTGTGTTGAATCGGACCTGGATCTTGTGTTTGTTCAGGATTTTGGAGATCTTTTTAGTGACCCCTGCAATGTAGGGTAAGGTGATGGTTTTGAGTGGCTCCACAAGAGGATCCTTCTTCATGACTGGAGTGATGGCTTTGCGGATTGTGTAGTCGGAGTAGCCATTAGCCCTGAGAGCCTGGTGTACGTGCTTGAGTTCACTGGTAATGTGTTCCTGGTCGGAAATGCATTGGGCTCTATGGTATAGAGTCTTGATGAGGGAGTTCTTCTGGGATGGATGGTGGTGGGAATCCGGTTTCAAGTAAGCATCTGTATGGGTAGCTTTCCTGTAGACAGAGTGGCTCATTGAACCATCATGTCTTCTTTTAATTAAGACATCCAAAAAGGGTAGTTTGCCATAGTTTGCCAAAAAGATGGCCAACTACCCTTTTTGGATGTCTTAATTAAAAGAAGACATGATGGTTCAATGAGCCACTCTGTCTACAGGAAAGCTACCCATACAGATGCTTACTTGAAACCGGATTCCCACCACCATCCATCCCAGAAGAACTCCCTCATCAAGACTCTATACCATAGAGCCCAATGCATTTCCGACCAGGAACACATTACCAGTGAACTCAAGCACGTACACCAGGCTCTCAGGGCTAATGGCTACTCCGACTACACAATCCGCAAAGCCATCACTCCAGTCATGAAGAAGGATCCTCTTGTGGAGCCACTCAAAACCATCACCTTACCCTACATTGCAGGGGTCACTAAAAAGATCTCCAAAATCCTGAACAAACACAAGATCCAGGTCCGATTCAACACAGTACATAAAATCCGTGATT